TGAGAAGCAGAAGGCCTTCTCAGAAGGCGGCGGGGCTTCTCAGAAGCCCTCGCGCCTTCTGAGAAGTTTTCTGCGCCTTCGGGGAAGACTTCGAAGACTTCTCGGAAGGTCGGGGGGCTTCCGAGCCTTCTGAGAAGGCCTTCTCCTTCTCACTTCCCCCCCTCGTTTGCCGCCGACCTTCATCTACGACGGGCCGACGCGCTGGAGGGCCGTCGAGCGCCTCATGCGGCGGATGAGCGTCACGGTGCCCCGGGACCTCGTGGCGCTGCAGCGGCTCACGGACTTTGCGGAGAGCCTGCCCCAGTTCCGGCAGGCGTACCTCAGCATCGGCGACACCACCGTGCAGGCCTGCGACGCTGCGGCTGAGCTCGGCGACGGCGAGTGGCTGTGGGCGCGCGGCGCAGCCAGCCCAGCCGAGTGCCCCGGGCTGCCGGAGGAGCAGCGCAGGATGGTCCTCTACGTGCACGGCGGCGCGTTCGTGCTCTGCAACGCCGCCACGCACCGCTCGCTGACCCTGCATGTGGCCCGCGCGACCCGTGCCCCCGTGCTCGTGGTGCACTACCGCAGGCCGCCGCAGGATCCGTACCCTGCAGCGCTGGACGACGTCGTCCACGCTTACCGGCAGGTGATCTGCACCTTTCCCCCCCAGCGGGTGCTGGTGGCAGGCGAATCCGCCGGGGGCAACCTCGCGGTGGCGCTGTGTCTGCGGCTGAGCCAGATGGGCTTGCCGCTGCCAGGCGGCCTCGTGCTGATGTCGCCGTGGGTGGACCTGTCGGACTTCTCCAGCCCCAGCTGGCACGGGCAATCGGACTATCTGCCGGCGGACCTCGCCGAGCACTTCGCGCACGCCTACGTCGGGCAGGCTCTGGCGACGGACGAGCTAGTCTCGCCCTCCCTCTCCTGCTCGCTCGGTGTGCTTCCCCGGTCGTTGCTCATCTACGGCAGCGTGGAGAGCATCGCCGACCAAAACGCCCTCTTCGGGAAGCGCCTGCGGCAGGCTGGCGTGAGCGTGACCGAGTACGTCGCAGACGGCATGGTACACGCGTTCCCCGTCTTCTCCGACTTCGCCTATGGACACCTGAGCCAAGCCGTAATCTTCGTGACGGCCGTGGCTGCGGGCGCTGTGATAGGCCTCCTGGTCTTCGCGGTGGACCTCGCCCTGGGAATGGGCCCTCGCCGCGCGGCCATCGTGGGCGCTTCTGTGACGCTCTGCGTCGTCGTGGCCGCGCGCGTGCGGAGCTGCGGCTACAGCCCCCGGGACTTCCTCGAGGGAGAGCGGTCGGGCGCCTTGAGACGGGGGCCAGTGCAATCGGGGGGGTCGGCCAGAGCGCCAGAGCTTGCAGGGTCCCGCAGGGCCGGGGTCGCATCGACCCGGGTCTGGGTGCAGGATCCTGCAGGATCCTGCAGGCTCCCGCGAGGCCCGACGGGCCTGGCTCTGGATCGACCTCGGGTGTCCGCAGGTCCCCGACGCGGGAGGGCAGCGACACCGACGGCAGCGGCAGCAGCGGCGGGAGCTCCGAGGCGGGCCCCGCGGCGCTGCCCGCCCCGCTGCGGGTCTTCCAGGCCATCGGGGCGTTCTCCCGGGAGGTCTGGGGCGTGCCCGCGAGCGGCTCGCCGGGATGAGGGGGCAGCGCGGGCGGCACGCCTCCCGAGGCGCGGGGA